CCCCCCCCTTTTTGTGTAACAATTTTTTTTTTTTTTTTTTTTTTTTTTTTTTTTTTTTTTTTTTTGACTTCTCAACCAAATATTGTTGCTAATCCCTGTTTGTATTTTTTCAAGTGGCACACACTCTCCCTTCTTTGGCTTCTTTAGGCTGAAATGACATGTTCATTTTCATCCTTACTTCACTCTTGAGAGGTAGGGCTCTTTAATTATGTGGGTGCTGTCAGACCTTCTGTGAAAGTTTGGCAGCGTGTGTGTGTGTGTGCATGTGAACTTGTGTGCCTTTCGGTACTGTGTGTCACTGAAATACCTGGAGTGAGGGTTACTTGTAATTAAAATATTTATAAGAGAAACAACTTTATTCACAGAGTCCCGCTTTGGGACTAGTCTGTACTTTGTTTTTTAAAGTCTAATAACACTGATTATAGGAAGTAAAAGCAGAAAGGAAAACAAATCACCATAGAGAAAACTCTGAGTTAGGTTGCCGGCTTCCTGGGGCCTCGCATACCAGGACTCCAAAGTGATCCAGCCCTACCTGTCTTCACACCTGTGCACCCCAGGTGAGAGCAATTCTGTGTCTATGTCACTTCCGCTTCCCAATCTCCTATCTGCTTAGCCAATGGCCACTCCCCTAAAATATTGGGTTCTCCTTCTAGGCAGCTCTGGGGGCTGCAGAAGGCTTCACAAGACTTTGTAACCCATCCCACACTCTCTCCCTTCCCTCAAACAAGAGCTGGTCTGGTATTTCGGGCATATTTTGGGGAGAGCAGAGCTCTCAAATCTGATAAGATTCACATACATAGTCCTCTTGGCTTTGAGGAGAAACTTCTTTGCCACACTTCCAGTCTCCCCAGTGGGTTTTGCTGTGATTTTCTAAATCAGGTTCAGTCCAGGAGGTTGGAGGTGAGCAGGGGGTTAATCTGTGTGGTGAGCGCTTCATATATAGAATATTTAGCTTCTCAATGCAGTGAGCCTTAGGGTTGAAGTCACCCCTCCTAAGCTGTAACTCCACGCTTGGGTGGTGGCAGGAGGCCTCGCAGCCAGCATCATCGTGCATGTAACAGCATCAATGTGAATTAGTCATGTGTTCCTCCCTTGAACTGTCTGTTTAGTCTGAGGTTTTTTAACTTGCAGGCAACTGACTGACTGATGTCCAGTCATTCCCTGCTTTTTATGCATCATGTCAAAGATAACAGCTGTTCCCACCCAGATTTCCTCCTGTGAGCATATGCTCTGCTTCTCTGACACGTCCCATGCTGGAGAAAGGAAGTCATGTATTTCTTCACCTCCGTTTCTTAGCTTTTCTCGCAGTTTTCCTCTGTTCTCTGGGTTTAAGTGCAGAGATTGTCCTCTTAATGCTGGGGGACTTCTGGGGAGAGGAGATGGCAAGTCCCCCCTAACTTGGTGGTACATGGCATTCATCACAAATTCTGGAATTCTCATCTTCTAACCTAGAGAAATAGGTGCTATATACAGGGAATTAAGCAAAATGCTGGATGCTATAGATCTTTTAATTGTCTTAATTTTTTTTCTATTAAACTACAAGCTGTAGATTTCTTAGTTCTCACAGAACTTCTATCGTTTTAAACTGACTTGTATATTTAAAAAACAAATCTTAAGTAGGATGTTTTGTACTGTTGCCAGACCCTATTCTGTGATGGGTAATGCGTTTGATTGTTTGAGATTTTCTGTTTTTAAAAATGTAGCACTTGACTTTTTGCCAAGGAGAAAAATAAATATTATTCCAGTGCAAAGTGGTTTGAGTGAGTATGTACAGCCAAGAAGTGGCAGGGAAGGGCTCCCTAGTATATACTTAGAAAGTCAGGTAGAGATGCTGTAGCTACTTGGGGGAGTAGGGGAGCACCAGGTTAGAGGCAAGTAGAGTGCAGAGACACGAACACTAAGACCTGCTGGTTCCTGGTCCCCAGCTCTAGCTCACAGTCCTCTACTCTAGGATCCAGCTGAGGAGTAGGTATGCCCAAGGGAAGTAGTATGGTACCTGGAAAAGTAAAGAAGGCACTGATGAAGATGAGGGGCGGGCGCTAGTCCTTGCTCTGACTGTATGGCTTTGAGCAAGGTGATCAGCTCTCCTTATATAAATAGGTCCTAAATAGGTCCTGTCTCCTTCTGGGGCTAGTGCCCTGAGAATGAATAAAGTTTGCCCTGGGAATAAGTTAGCCTTTTTTTTTTTTTTTTTTTTTTAGATTTTTGCCATAGGGAGGCCGGCAGGTGGCGTGTTGGCTAAGGGCTAGACTCCCACACGGCTGACTGTGGTTCGAGTCCCAGACCTGGTGGCTTGCCTTCTTACTTTCCCTCTCTCTCTCGGTATCCCTCTCAGGTCAAATTAAAATAAATAAAGTTGAATAAAATAATTCTTAAAAAAGGTTTTTGCCATAGGGCATATGCACTC